TGTCTTCCTTCGCATCAGTTCGTGTCGAGCCAAAGTGTGTGTGTGTGTGCATGAGCAGCCCATCTCGTTCAACTCGTGATGCATTCACTCCGGTCGAGATCGCTAGCTAGAGCCATACTTGCTGTTTGCTTCTCTTGCCGTTTGGAGGTCGGAGGTTTTCAATGCAAAGTTCATCGAGGTTTGGGGGACGTACAGTATTTCATGGTCGAGGTGGTTCGGACTTCCAATGCTAAGCATGTAATATCCTCCTCTTCATCATCCTAAGTCTTGAGATCAAGTGGAACTTGACACATAGATGATGCAGGGAAATCGGAGGATTGCAAACTTGTGACCGTGCGAAAGCATACATTGCTGGTTGCATCCACAGCATGCGTTGGCTTAGGGAGAGCAGAGCAGTCACCGTGTCTTCTCTAAAGTTGTGCTTCACGAGGTACAGCAGATGTTAATCGGAGCAGGATCTGGGAAGGACATGAGGCTTGTGTGCGAGCTTGGCGTGTTGATGAGTTTTATTCGAACATTGTTTGTAGCTTGTTTTGGTCTTGCGCTTTTGTTTGTTTTGCTTGCTCTCCCCAAGCCACAAAAAGCTGGTTAGTACAGAGTCTCACCCAGGAGCGGGAGCTAGCACGGAACGTTCCGTGGCAATACCTCATGCTCGCAGTGGTGCATTTTTCGTTTGATGCTGTTTGATGGGTGCCAAAGTCGAAGAGAAACCTTCCATGAAAGCTTGAAGGGACACCAAAAGAAAGCAGTTCCTCCCTATTCAATTGTTTAGGGAGCCTGCTACCGTTGAACGATGCTCAGGTGAAGGGCCTCTCCTAGTTCGTACCGTGGAAGCCTTGTGGTACATGGCCGATGACTACGAGAGTTTCGCCCTTGTCTTTTTAATGTGTTCCGCCGGGATGTCTGTCTAGATGCCTGCCGCAACGACCAAGACACATTCGTTTTACATGTTTCAGGTTGCCTGAGGATTGTGGATTTGAATGGCCATCAGCTTCTGTGCCAGCTGGCTCGGGAGCATGGTCAAGATAATCCGGATGCAGCAGGAGGTATCTTCCGACTGTTGGCTGATTCTTTCTTGCAGATAAATAAAGGAGTGTGACGCAGTGCGTCGCTCTGCCGTGTGCCTGTGAAGCTAAGGAAACTTTGTACACCGAGCCGAGGCCGCTTGTGACAGGGTCCTCCGGCTCCGCTTGCTCTGCTGATGCTTTTCTTCCCTCTGAAGGTCCTCTCGTCTCTGGGGAGAGGCGCTGGATGCCAACCTCTTGGCCGCAGCAGTCAACTGGGCAGTCCAGCAAGCAGGCTGCAGCCTGGGTCTCGGCGTGAGCACGGAACGGGATCGGGCAAGGGCGCAAGATACCCAAGGCGACCCAGAATGCTCCACGACTCTCGGGTTTGTCTGTGCCACCATCTCAGTTTTCGCGCATTGTGTAGTGTTGCACAGCGATCAAGCCGAAATACGCCCTAGGATGTCGCTGCGCTGTGGTTGCAACGCGTTCCTGACAAGGAGGCCTGCAAGTGGGTTGAGCGGAGAAAAACGAGTGTCCCTAGGCCGAGATTCCCGACAATTCCCTCTGTCCGCTCGCCCGTTCTTTGCCATCTTCCACCCCAGCGTCAGACTTGCTCGGCACGCCTCGCACCATCTCGCGTTTGCTTTCGCCCACCACCGACGTCGCGATTTTAGTCTCTTGGAGTCTGCCAGTATCACCTCAATACGGAAGCCAGGTCTTTCAGTCCCTCCGACAAGTTCCTTGATGAGGATATGCTTAGTAGGAGTACCTGAAGGTTTGCTCTAAGCCCTCGTTAAGAGGCTCTTGCAGGCTGGATGCAAAAAGGAGTGCCTGAAGAAGATCATGACCATCCGAACCCGAGAAGAGATTCTCGTCATCAATAGCCGGCGGATAGTTCGTAACGAGGGCGCGGACTTCATTCCTTTCTCGTAGAAATGGCCGTGGCAGCACGAAGGCTGGGCAAGCCAGGCTTTGAACACCGGGTTCGCCAAGCATCTAAGCACCTGCGTGCTGAAGAGAGTTGGCTTACTTTACACCAGCTCCTCTGCAAGGGCTTTTCACACCTTGTCCTGCCAGGCTGCCAAACCGTTGGTCGGCATCGTTCCGCAGCTGCTGAAGATCATGGCCTTTCGTTTGGACGATGCTACCGGCCTGCACAGGGACAGAAGACTATGATTAACGACCAGACAGACGGACCTTCTGGCACCGTGCTTCTGCTCCAGTTCGTGCGCTTTTTCACTTTGACGTGGGTTTTGGAACTTCCCTGTTGTTTTTTGCCAGGCTTGTTGTTTGCTTCCGTCGGCTTCGGGACGGACCTGTTCTTTAGAGGATCAGCCTGTGTTATTTGGCGTTGAGGTACTGGTCTTTTATTCAAGCTTGTCGGAACTAAGGTCGCACCCCTTTAACGCTTTCTTTCTCATTGTTAAGATGTGGAATGCTGCTTCCGATGCAGCCTGCAGAATCAAAAATAGAATCAAAACTTCCAAGCAAACCACCCATGTATGACGATCTCAAGACGGATACAAGCATCTTTGGTGCGGACTCGTCCTGCAAGACAATCGAGTACCACTATTTTCATTCTACTTGCAGTTTCATTCGGAGCTCTGCAAACACACCTTCTGCATGCGCATCCATCCTTTCCGCCAGTAGCTGAGGTGTTGCTGCTGCAGCATGGATTTCGATTGTTGTGGGCTTTCGCTCACAAATCGACAGAGTGGCCAGAGGCTTCGAACAAAGGGTCTGGAAGCATCTTGATGAACCTGGCTATGCGAATTCATGTATGGAGGCTCTCCGACAACCGACAATATGTGCCCTGCAGCAGCTGCGAGTATTGGTGGAAGCCAGGCCCCATTGCAAACGAAGCCCTGCAAAGCTTGGGTTGGTGCCCTCATGTGCCGTCTGTGAATTGCTGATTTTCAAACCACCAGGCCGTTTGCAGCACCAAATGCTATTCACTACAACGCCATGGCCCTACAGGCCAGAGGAGAGAAACTGCGCATCCGAAGCTTTGAGCGATCAGCACGATGGCAGGCGATTTGCGGGCTCGCGCCATGCACGACAGTGCAAACAAGCTTGGGCTTGGACAGCATGGATTGAAAAGGGCTTGTGCATGCCTGTGTTGTGATGATGAATCTTGATCTCTGATGCTTGTGCTTTCAGTCGGTGTCTGAGGGCTCGACCCGTGAACTACGGCGACTTCGGCCCGTGGAAGACTTACATGCGGTTGAAGATCTTCGTTTGAGGCCCTCGTGCATTCGTCTTGCGAGGTGCTTGGCGGTGGCGGCGGTAGCAGGTGAAGAGTTGCAGTGCGACGACTGCCGGCTTGTTTACTTCTCTTTCCAGGGGGCCGCGTTGACACTGCCTCTGGCAAGCTGGCCTGGTACCAAGCGGTGGAAATGTCTGCAGGCGTACATGGCGAAGCAGGTATGGACGTTTGTGTGAAAGCCCTATAGATCCTCATAGCACTGAGGGTGGTGCGGTGCGTGCAGGAGGTTCAGTATGCACGTTGCTGCCTGTGTGTGTGGGTGTGTGTCAGAGGACCAAGTCACAGCTTACAGGAAAGACTCACTGGAATTTTGCCCGAGATGCGCGAGGCCGTGCTGGTGTGAGAATACTGCATCGTGGCGGAAGCAGGGGCTGAGACTGTTCTTCGTGTCCACGGTTTCTGCATGGCTTCACGGTTTCTGCATGGCTTCAGTGCAGCTTCTGCAGCCATCAATGGCCTAGTGTACATAGCCAGCTGCCTAAGCCACCTGCGCTCCAGCCCTGCCTGCGCTGCTGCGCCACTTGCACGGCCCTGCACGGCCTTCGCCTCAGGATGCCTTGTGAGCTCATGGTGTAGACTTGAGATTCCAGGTACGCCAAAACCCTAGACCAGATCTGCATCTACTGCCAATGAGCATTCTTGGCTCAGCCGCCCGCTCAGATAGCAGATGTCTTACTCTCAAGAGACCAGCGACTACCCTAGAGCCTGCAAGGCCTCCGGGGCTGCGTCTGCCGTGGCATCGGCGGCTTCTGCTGCGACCAGCGCTGTTTTCCTGGCGAAGGACGTCTGTAGCTGTGAGCGATGGCACGAAGATGCAAGATGATGCAAGCCGTCGTGCAGGAACGCGCTGCGCAGGCGGGCGGTCTCATTTCATTGCAGTCGTTGTATGACCATGGGAGCATGCGCAGAAGAGAGAAGCATCTCGGATCAATAACGAGCTTTTTCATGCAGTGCCAGGTGGCGCCGGCAGCACCTGGTGTAACGCAGCTTGCAGCAGGAGCAGGTGCCAGCCATACACGGGGCCCCAAGTGTAGGCATATGGAGCATGTCGAGGTGAGGCCCATGATCCAGCCATCGTGTCGTTTTTGCTTCATCCTGCTTTGGACTCGACATTTGACCTGTTTCTGTCTCTGCAACTGGAGCGAATGAAAACGCAGTAGCTTGTTGCAGTATATAGATGGAGCCAGGGGCGGCTTGTTGAAGGACATATCGACTCGGAAATTGTGCCCCAACTGAGGCTTGCTCAGCAAATCTCAGCAACACATGGCTATCTACTTTCCATCGCATGTCGTTTTGCTGCTCTGCTTCCAGTTGGGGCCACAGCAAAGTTACTCGTAACTTTCTCGGATGCTCTCAAGATGATTTGGCTTGCGTTGCTGCTGCAGTGTCACTGGCGGTTTCCTGTCATGTGTTGAGGTTTAACTTCACGCTCCCTTCGTTAATGTCAGAAGCCGCGAAGTGCCGCATAACCAGACTGCCACCACATTGCACATCGGCAAGAAGGAAAGACATTCATGCGAGCCCTGTGCTTTCTGCAGTTAGTTTTCCTAGCGACATCTAACGACGGTGAGTGTTATTTTATTTGTTTATGCCAGGTGAAGCCATCTCTGAGGCTGTGGCTGGGCAGCACAAGCTTGTACTTGTTCTCGATGCGAGGTGCTTGATCATGCTTCGTTTGCGCAAGACAGGAATGGATGCAATAAAGCAAGGGCGTTGCAATGTGCAGCATGGCGAAAGCCGAGGGCCAGCGAGTAAGAGATGCAGCTGGCGAAGTGACACATCAGGTGGCAGGCCTGAGGCTTGAATTAGTATTCCAAATGCCGTGTCAGAAGAAAGGTTATCGCTTTGCGTATGCTGGTTCAGGTGTCGCCGGACATGCATCTTCGCAAGTTGCCAGTGCTGTAGAAGGCTATGGTACACATTGCTTTATATGGGTCCATATTGCGACCACGAGAGCCACGGGAGCCCAAGGTGTCAGGGACCACGCTGCCGCCTGGCCTGACTTGCATCCAGGTATCAAGCTGCACTTCTGCCCGGTCCAGTGTCGGTGGTCCAAGGTGCAGCAAAAGCAGCGGATGGAGAAGGTTCTGGACCAGTTCACCGACCTCATGGAGGCGGAGTCCAAGTGCCAGGTAGAGTCTTAGAGTGCCAGTTCTGCAGGACAGGGGAGTCTTTCAAGCTTTTGCAGGGCTTCCTCAAGAGAAAGCTGTACAAACTTTTAATTCTTCTTGTGGACAAGATCCCCGGTATTCTCAAGACAGCGGGCAGCTCAGGAAGCCCTCCAGGGCATGCATCGAGCGGCTACAAGTACCCCTTTCCGTGCCCTCTTCTGCCAGGTTTTGGAAGACCCTGAGATGCCATCTCGAGTGCAGAGAGCCCAGGACGCAAGCTTAGGTTTGCAAGGGTTGGAAGTTTGGTGTTCACTGCTGCAGGATGCTGCAGTTGATGCTGTCTGGCCGGATGTGCGGCAGGCAGAGACTGCTATGGGAAGCTCTGGTTTTCGGCTGGCCTTGTCTGGCAGGAAATCATGTGGGAACTGGCAGTGTGACCGGGTAAAAATTGTGATCTCGCGAAGGGATTGGCGGTGAAAGCACGTACGTAACCGGCAAATCCTAAGAGCAACATTGCCGAAAACATCCTTGCAGGGACAGGGCCAAGGTCTAACTAAGGTAGGCCAAAACAGAGCGGCTTCGCTTTGCTTTCATTGGAGAAGTGCTGGTGGAACCTAGGACCATGGATGGCAAGGCAGCGGACCAGCCAAAGGCGGTTGATGGACTCTCACTCTTGCTGTTTTCTGAAATGAAAAAGTGAAACATCTTCATTGTTGCAGGAACATGGCTGCATTTGCTGTTCTTTTCTCAGATACCATCTTTATCCTTTCGACCGAGGCGTGGACACGGACGAGACATGAGTTGGTCCTGACAGTAGTGAAGTAATGAAAGCAGTGAATGCACAGGGTTCTGGGGACGGCTGCGAGATCCAGTGTGGAATTTCAGATGCAAAAGAGGAAGGCCTTTCTTCATCTCGCCTCCTGCGACAGACTAAGGATACTCTTCACGATTGTCGGCCTTCTTCCTGTGTATGGCATCAGCCCAGGCGTGTCTTAGCTGAGGTTGGCCTCGAGCTTTGGACCGAAATATTGAACCATTCCAAAATCTCAGCATTCTGCTCAGATTTTCTTGTTGATCTTCCTCATCGTCGACAAATCCGATGAGTTCCAGCTTGTTTCCTTCATACTTGAGTTCAAGGACAAGCTTGCCCCAATTCCGCTTCGGCGAATCTGTGTCTCCCGAAGCTTGTCTGGTTTGCTGGAGACAGAAAGCCGTGGCAACAGCTTTTCAGGGCTTCCAGTACCTCACACAGGGCCTTGTACGCAGCTTGATGGGCAGCGCCCTCGGTTGTACGCCAGAGTCTCCGAGCCTGCAACCACAGCCCCATCCGTTCCGTGGTCCCGAACTTTAAGGCTACTTTTTGTACCTGAACTGCGTCACTGCGCCCGGGCAAGAGGAGGATTTCTGCGCTACAAACGGACCCGGCTCCGTCGCTCCGACCCTGATTGTCTTGGTGCAAGACTCAGGGCCACTAAGCCTTTGCCCAGCTAAAGCCACAGCCCTCGATAGACTTGTGCAGGTTGGATATTTGCTCCAAGTAGTTCTGGTTTGGAGCTTGTCTGCACATGGAGGATGTTGGAGGCTTAGTGCGGCAGACCAAGCCAGGACATCAGTTGCACATGTTGAGGACGGCCTTTGTGCTCCTACCCTTCTCTTCAAGCAAAGGGCGATCAACGCTGACTGGCCATCTGGTTCCTGATCTTCATTCTACATGGAGTTGGGAACATCTTGAAAAGACGAGCTGCACTGAAACATCGGTCTAGCCCTGGCCGTGTAAACCAGGTCTCGCTTGAGATGTGCCCCTGTTGAAGCTTTCCCTGCCCCTTCGTATTTCGACTGTCCGAGATCCCTTATGCATCGTTTGCGAGTTTTGGAGAGCTCTAAGCACTTTTCCGGGTATCACAAGCTCCGCTCGAGTCTCCTTTTGCCGCCTGAGGAGCGAGGCATATACGAAAACGTCAGGAGTGGGTTTCGCAATTGCACGGCCCAGGATGAACATCTTCCGCACCGTGCAAAGCAACGGGGTGGATATATAAGTCGCTTGACCGACATGAGGGCCTTGACACGTCCTTGTCAAGCAGAACAAGTGGGGCACGGCATTGTAAACTGATTTCAGCAACAATTGTGTCCTACATGGGTACTCCCTGAGTCTATCTTCTGTGGTATGACCTCTTGACCTTCGTCGTCTGTGCTGGGGCACTGGTTTACGTGTTACAGCTGCGAGAATGGTGGCTCGACGACTGGATGGTCAAGCATGCAGCTCGGACCAGTTTCGACATCCGCTTGTTCTCACACGACTTTGGCAGATTGTTGGGGTACACATCCAAGCCAAGGCGTTCTTTGCTATCCAGATGGTGCACGGCTACTTGTCCATGCCCTTCTTTTTCTTTACGATCCCTCTAATAAGGCCGTCTGAACACGATTCGTTGGTGTAAGTTCGGCAAGAGTGCTCGATGCCTCGTTTCTGGAACCAGCTACAGCCGGAGGAATGTTCTGAGCCACACGGCAGGGGGCTTGGTGCTTGCGGCGTGGAGTGTTGTGATGCCGCGGCCACGTTGTGCATGTTGAAACCTAGAACGCCTGCGACGAATCAGCGGCCGCTCCCCAACCCTGTTCGCCAGATTTGTTTTGGTAAGTACCTGCACGGGACGGCGAGCATCATGAGCATCTGCCCCCGGCGACCCCAGCCACTTCCAACGGCAAGGCTGCTTCCTTGATTTCGTCTTCTGTTGCTTGCGGCACCTGCAGCCCAGGAAACCTCTAAAACGTCGCGGGCCGCCCATCTGATGCTCGTAATGCCCGCCGCCCGGCACCCAAGTGACCACCTCGTCGCACGCAAATGCTCACAATAACGACCTTTTTCAAGAGAAGCCAAACCAGTACATCCGAAAACCATACAAAAAACCACGCGTTTGCAACGTGTTGTCATGTTTTCGCAGCCACACAAGAGCAATAAGCCGCCAATGCGCCGAACAAAGATGCTGCTTTTGGCCGTGCGAAAAGAAGGAGGCCCCACAAGCAGACTTGCGAGAGCGACGACAACCAGGAAGTGGGGGGCAAGCTTCCTTCGAGTAGTCGGGAGAATTAGTCGAATTGCCATGGTGCTGGGCGCACTTTGCCTACGAAATGTGCATGGGCCGTGTCGGTGATAGAGGATAGAGGAGAGATCTTGAAAAGTAGGGGGAGAAGGCGCATGTCATCAATGAGCATTTGAAGCCGGTTGACGGAGGAAGGTAAAGGCAGGGGACGTCTGCTGCCCATAATCCATTCAAGCCAGAGGGCACCAAGAGTCAGCATCTACCACCCCATAGGGAGCCATGCTCGGGTTTCTCAGGAATTTTGCGGAGGCACAGGAAATTGGATGGTGGCAGAAAGAGGCTGGGGGATCGTCAGGGCTCGGGGGGGGCTTTGGGGCAGGCCGGGAAAGGTGGGTTGAGGTGGAGACTGGAAGTAACTTTTGTGTAGCGGCATGTGCATTCGTTCCTCGTTTTGCTACCGAGCGAAAAATCGACCCGGGGGGTTGGAGGAAGAGAGTGGTAGGAAGAAGGGAGTGGCAACTGGCGCTCAGGGGCAACGGATGCTAGCGCTGCTAGCGGCCAGCGGTTGGCTAAGGCACCGACTGGATACGACCGATCTGGATGTTGCAGACAGTACTTGGGCCCTGCAAGGCAGACAGTTTCATGTAGGGTTTGCGCATGTTCGCACTATCACTAGCTCATGCATATGTAGCTGAACTAGTCTTTGAGAGCAGGCCTCCAAAACCGCCAGCAGATGCTGGCAACATTCCGCGCGTGCTCGAGAAGGCTGAGGCTTGCAGAGGGCTTTCTTTCCCTGTCAAAGGCGCTATCGATTTGCTTGGCAAGGCAGCCAAAGTGCTGGAGAACCTGAGACGTCTGTTGTCGGGCCTTCGCGTTCGTGCTCTGGATTTGGAGGATAGACATGGGGCAGCGATGCTTTTGATTTGGAAGCATGTCAAACGGCAGGAGCAGCCGACGGAGTCCGAAGCGGCGAATGCCGAATAGAAGCGTTTACCGTTGAACGCTTCTTTGTGCCCTTGAGCCAGATGTTGTGGCGCGGCATATCTGGATGTGTGCCAAAATGGTCACTTCCACTTCAGCCGTCGTTCCAGGGACAAAGAAACCTGAAGCTACAACGAACTGGCGCAGGAAAATTTGCCTACAGGCTTTGCTTCCTGCAATAGATCAATTGCAGTGCTTGCGTGGGGTTACCATCCTGCGCATCGCAGCACCGGTCTGTACGGTCTTCTGCCAGGCTCCCCTCGAGGAAGCGCTTCCGAGCGACTGGTGCATGAGCTGAAGGCTTCGATAAATTTGATGGGCGTTGATGCGTAGGCCTGGCTCCATCAAAAGTCTATACGAGGTCTTTCCCAACCACAACACGTACAGCTTCGTGGCTGAATTGTGGAGCTGTGCTGGGACCAAGATACCCGACCCCCACCCGCATGCCACGCGCGACTCTGTACTTTGGAAGATTTGCTATCTAAGATGGGACTTGGCTTAACGGCCGTTGCCACGGCGATGGTCTCTACACTTGGAGTGCTTGGTGCCAAGATACCTAGAGGCATGCATGGGAGAAGTCTGCGAACGTGGCCACAAGCCCAGGATGGCACCGAGTATGCTGGCGAGTTCCGCGAGGGCTTGACGTGGGGTCAAGGTGAAAAGCCTTCGCCTCAGCCACGTTTGTCTTGCTGTGGGCCAAGATGGTTTCAGAGGCGGTGGTCGAACGGAAGGCGATACTGTGGAGAATGGGTCGCGTCCTGAAGCTGGCAAGATGGACATGGACAAATGTCACGTGGCTTTGACAGCAGGTGCAGGACATGATGTGGGGGAACGGCGAAATGCACTAACCTTGGTACAGATTGGCACTCGTGCCAACTGTGATGTAATCGTCATGACGCATGGTGAAGCGACAGTGCTTTCATCCTTCTGTCTGGCTCCTGAGACTCAGAAGAGATAGATTCATAGGTAGCAGGAGGTGGCTGATGGCTGATCGCCATGGAGGACGATTTGGATCGCTGGGAAGCGCGCAAGGCGCAAGAGGCCACAGAGCAGACGCAATTTTCTGTGCCGCAGAGCATCTACCTTTCCTGGATAAGGCTTCCGGGAGAAAAAAGCGGAGCGGCCCAGTGGCCAAGTAGGGGCTCTGGGCGAAGCAAATGTGCAAGGCAAGAGCTCGACGACGAGCAAGCCTGCATGGAGCTGCCTTTCATGATTCTGTACCTCAGCTTCAATTCGGAAACCGAAGGCTCCAGGGAGTGCAGTGCAAGTAAGGGTGGTGATTTCATTCACCTTGATGGCGGCTTCCTGGCTGCAAGCTGGACAAAGATCGTAAGAACTCACATGTCTAGGAGCAAGTTGCTTGAAAGGTTCTGGCGCTGAGCCAGCATGTGGTCCTGTCTGTCGAGCAGGCGATTGAGCAAGACATCATGCAAAATGCAAACTTTGTCGCTTTGATTCGCAAGCCACAACGACACTTGTTGGTGCTGCAGAACCTAAAGTGACATGGTGCTTGATTCCAGCCAAGGCTTTCAACGAGTACATGGGCACGCCAGATGCAAGAACCACATTTATTTTCGGTTGGATTGCTCATCACATCTAGGACAGGTAGCAAACAGAGTTTGTGCCCGGCCTGTGGCTTTGCCATATGTGCCAGGGCACAAGACCCTTGTGGACGTGCATTCCTTCGGTGACTTTTGGTCGTGGCTTCGTTTGGGCTTTGTGCCCCTGGTGCTTCCCAGGGGCTGGGTATATTCGGAGCGCCGAATCCCCGATGCCCCATGGCGAGAGCAGTAATGGCTGTGTATGTGCAGATGTGGATGCCAAGCTTCAGATGTCATGAAAGAATGAGGTCACCAGTGTGTTTGGTCTTAGCGATGCGGCTGTGCAAGCGCCGAATGCATGGGATTTCGAGAACAGGCTCGATGACCTCATTCTGCCAAAACCATGCATCGCCATGCTTCGGTGCATGTTTCGTGGAGGTACCGTGCCCCCGTCACTGGTGATTATCTGTTCTTTGGTGGCACAAGTCGCGTCCCGGGGCCCCGAAGTGACGTTCCGTTCAGATGAGCCAAGATGAGGCGTTAGTGGAGAAGTTAGAAGATTGCAGATTGCTGATGCAGGTGGCGAAGGCTTCGGCTTTGCCCATTTCTCAAACTTTTTGTTGTTCCCGGGCCTAGGCACTACAATCGGATCATTGGGGGCCTACGCTTTCGTCAGCAAGTCGCGCCCGATGGGCCGTGCCGCTTCCCTGGCTCTGCTTCCCAGGAGCTCTTCGACCGATGGTATGCGCGCCTTGGCAAGCTTCCAACAACAACATAAATAATGAGGTCGCCTTCTTGGCCTTGTGTTGACAAGCCCAGGAAGCCATGCATGCCAGCCTACGAGGACGCTGCTGCCAACGGTCTCTTCGGGTTGGGCAATCCCTTTCCTTTTACCTTCTTTTCCTTTCCCCTCTTCCCGATGCTTACCTCCACTCCCCGCTGGCTCTCGCCGTCCGTCTGTCTGCCTGTCTGTCTGTCTGTGGGTCGTTCGGTCGGTCGGTCAATAGGTCGGTCAATCGGTCGGTCAATCTGTCGTTCAATCGGTCAGTCAATTGCTCGGTCGGTGGGTCGCTTGCTCGCTCGCTCGCTCGCTCGCTCGCTCCCTCTGTCAAATGGCACGAGCCCTAGAATGCACCCAACAAACATGATGCATTACCGAATGCTGGTTGCTCGTGGCTTTGTAGATTGAACAGTGGAATTTCGAATTTGCATGGTATGGACTTCGGAGTGAGAGGAAACGGTGGTGAAATCAAATTGTGCCACCTCCAGTGTACCGCGGTGAACCGGGTAAAAGGGAAGGCTGGTCATGGCAGCTGAAGTGATACATCGGACTGTGAAAGCCGATTGCCAAACTGATGATGGATGATGTTGAAGGAGCCACTACTGTGATCATTGATGACCTGAATGAGGCGTTTGACATCCAGCAACCACGACGACAAACGAATCGACTGATACTTTTTGCACGACAACTGGCTTACATGCTTGCGCAAATCACTGCTAGTGCAGCAAGGTCGATTGTTCGATATGAAGACACAGAGAATGGCTTCGAGATTTGGCGACGATTGCACGAACAGTCTTCACCGCCAGTGAGATCATGCGAGTGATTTGAGTGATATCTTAATTTTAAAGAACAGACATGAGAAGACGACTGGCAGGTTTCTGGACAATGACCTCTTGATCACGTTGCTAATGCAGAAGCCTGTTGGCACATTGCAGCCGCACTTGAATGTTCGAAGTATCACGACGTTCACTGAGGCCCTGGAGATGGTGTATAGATACATCAAGAGCAGGCATCTGACTGTGCCGAGCGGTAGGCTTGACCACCAA